CACACACACACACACTCTCACACACACACACACACACACACACACACACACTCTCTCACTCTCACACACACACACACACACACACACACACACACTCTCTCACTCTCACACACACACACACACACTCTCTCTCTCTCACACACACACACACACACATCAGAGGACGAGCTCCATCTTAAATGAGTGAAAACACAGTTCAAGCTTTGATTAACAAAGTGTATCTAATCATTTTAAGAACATTTCAGAACTACTTCAGTTCAAACTATATAAATGTACAGGTACATGCCACACACTAACTGCATCATCACAAACATATTTTAATGAGCAACATTTCGGTCCAAAATGAAACATTGCTCACTGAAATATTTTTGTGATGAATAGAGCGTGGGATTTATGTTGTTATTTCACTGGATGCATCAGTGGTTGATTCAGGTATATTTTTAGATTAAAATACTCAATGTTATGATATATCAAAATAAAGTCTCGGAGATTTCTTATTTCTGCCCATATTTGCCGCTCAGTGGCTCAGTTCTACAGTCTTTGCATTACTTCAGGTTTGCATTCTTTTTTAAATCCTACTAACTGCTATTTTAATGTCATTATTACTTATTTTTTTCCTTATCTCTTATTTGTCATATCTTGCCATTTGAATCTGCTATTTACATTTCACTGCAAGTTGTATTTTGTATTAAGTATGCGTTGTGCATCAATCACGCAACACTGACGCGTCATGTCGAATGGAGCCACGCCATTGGTTGGCGCGTATGACGTCAGTGGGCTGTAACTTCCGGGTACAGTAATGCAATGTTGACGCAATCAGCTGAAAGTTGAGGACTGGTTTAGGTTGAATTCCTCTCCGCACAGGCGCTTTGATGAGACGGATCAGGTACTGTCTCTAATTCTGCTTTATTAGAAACATAATCGCGTGATTAGTTGACGGACAGCTGTGTTGTTCGAGAGTAAGATAAGCAGCGTTTGTGTTGTTTTGACTGAAACATTTCGACACGTATGTGTAAATATTATATAATATCTGTATTTACTGTCATGTGTTCTGTGTGTGTGTGTTGAGTCTGTCAGCACAGTGTATTATGTATTACTGGACATATATATATGTGTGTGTGTGTGTGTGTGTGTGTGTGAGAGAGACTGTGTGTGT